TTTTCGCGTCAACAAAAATTATTTTATCTGAGACTTCAATATTCCAAGAAGGAAAATTTTTTAGTGGAAAAAAAAAATCGAAACTGTAAAATTATAAATTTACTGGAGCACTGATTTACACGTAAAAAACGAACGAATGACTACTCGAACATACAGAACAAAAGATCTAACTTTGTGTACTACTGAAAAGTAAATGAAAAGCAGATTTAATAAATGTATAGATGATGTTCAAAGTATGCAAAGCTTACTAAGACAAACGGCATATGTCAAATATAAAAATAAAATGAGCTCCTATAACTTTTCTATTTAGCTATTACCTACGAGTAGTTAACTATTATTTTCACTTAGCATGACTATTAAACTATTATATCGATTTCCACCCCGTCTCAATAAGGAAGACTAACTTTAATCTTTAGCAGTACAGTGCCGTCCGTCTTACACGACTAGAAAATACTTGCTCACGGTCAAAGTTATTTTTAATTTTTTTTTTAATGAATGTATTTACACATACTATGGAATTTAAAGTTATCCGATTGCCATGCACCCCTTGGCATATAGGAAAAAGAGGCTAGTTATAAAAATATATACAACTTATTCTGGAATGACTATATTGTAAACGCTATAAAAATATTACATGTAGATGAGATAAATTTCGCGGCTAAGATTGCGTAATATAGATAAACTATATATGTAAATATTCCTTTTACTTCCTCAAGGTCCTGCTCTATCGTTATTCTCTGATGATAGAACTTGAATGCACTATGAAAAAACCTATATCAATGAATGGTACCTAGCTATATAGCGAAAACAATTGTTGGAAGTTTAGACTCACCAGCTGCCCAAAAAGATAAGCAATAAAGCGGAAAACTTCCAGTGTATGCTTTGAATGTAAAGCAACGGTATTTTGGTTCGTATTCCTTTGTGACTGGTTGCGTGATTCTTCAACGTAATCGTAACCGAATTCTTCACGGAAAAGCGGAAGAGTGTTATCACAGCAACAGCCTAGAGTTTGTAATTGTTTAAGTTTTTATAAATTTTTTGTGCGAAATGTTTTCAAACATTCCATCTGAATACTGAAATGACATTGAACTAACGTATTTATCAAGGTTGCTATGTCTGAAAAATAATGAGGAATATTGAATTGGAGAAATTTTGAATGTAAATTTTCAACATATTTCTGGAATTATAAACAAATTATGGACTATGTTATTAACATATCATCATTTTTTGTCCATAAGCATGAAGAGCTCTTTGCTGCTGATGAAGATGAATTGTTCAAGCTGAGACAGCTGCCTTCGACTTAAGTTGAAATAATTGTCAAAACGTTAGAAGTTTTTTGCGGCTGGAAAAGAAAAAGTAGGCAGTTCCCTGGTGACCGAAAACTTATGCCAGCATTAACGGCCCACCATCATAGGGTTAAGAATAAAGTTCATAAGACATGGAAGAATACTTTAGAATTGTTTTGCGTAAGATGCGTATTTATTACGTAAATTTATGTGACCTGAAGGAGCCAAAGCTTACATAGAATTTCGATTTGTAATTATTTAAATTTGAGGGCCCAATTTAATCCTCTCTGACAAACAGATTGGTCTCATAGCTAATGTAGTTCGCGTGGGACGCAGTAAGAGACACGAAGGCTCCAGTGAATTGCAGCAAGTAGGGTCCAATAATGCTAGACAGCAATTGTTGCAGGTAGAGCAGCTGGACACGGACATGAAGAAGAAGCACTTCCGGCGTCGAGGTGCAAAAGTGCTTCATGATCAGATTAAGTTGGGCATAATTGCAAAACTCATTTAACAGGAAGGTCGACAGCCAGGGCATACTGAACCAGGCGAACATACGTTTCGGAAACAGCTGCCAACTGGAGGCGCGCTTTCCTCGGCTGCGCAACCAATTCAACTTCACCTCGGTTGCGGCAGAGATCTTAAAGGGATCGAGCTGAAGCTCTTGCTCAATTGTACGACTCTTCTTCTTATCTACCTCCCGTTGACAAAGCCAGACCCCAAATACAAACAGCAAGGAATTCATGACTGCTTGCCAAAGCATGGAATGATGGTATTCATAGCCCACAAACAGATTTAGTTTCCGTGTGAGCCGTAAATTGATTGTCTTGATGCTCGCATGGGCCTCGATGGTGGGCTTCAAATGGGCACAGATGTGCAATAGGGTTAAAGCCAAAACTAAACAAATATATGATAATTTTGACAACATTTTATTAAATGTTTCCGACAAGATTTAAAAAGATTTTAGTTCTGACTGTCTGACTTTATTTCAGACAGCTAATGACTACGTTAACTTCGTTCCCGCCTCCTAAGCTGCATGTGCATGTGAACGGCCAACAGTTTACTTTCCCTTGAACATCGTCTTAACAATAAACTCTGTAATTTCGTTGACCATGCTATCGCGGTTGTTTTTGGTAACATGAAAAACGATCGAGTCGGGCGCATTTCTAATACCTTCGACAAACGAAATAGGCTGACGGGTTTGTGAAGGTATGGTGGCTAGCATAGGCTGGTTCTGATTACGTAGTTTATTAACGGCACGTTCGAAACGTTTGCTTAACAGTTCCATTTTGCCAATTTCATCAATTACGATCAGCTGCTGCGAGGCCGAGGACGAAAGTGAAGGCGATGGTAATGCGGATTCTAAGAGTGGCAATGCCTTATTCTCCAAATCCGCCACGTAAACAGCATATTTGCCCACCTTGGGCCGGCGTATGTTATCCGCTGGCTTCTCACGTGCCAAGATCCCACGTTCACCACTCAAGGAGACCACATCGAACCCAATTCGCTGGCCATACGTCCGCACCTCCTCTGTGTAGAAACCTGCTAGTTTGCAAAATTCGCTCAATTTGCTGCATATTTTGCGAACTAAAGTTGTCTTGCCGACACCTACAAGCACAGGCAGAATTATAGTCGTATTTAGATTCAAAAATTCTGCGTTTACCTGGCGGTCCAGTTATTATAAAAGCCGTTATTTTGCGGCTTTCCATGTTTTACCTTCTGATTTAACACTTATCGTCTTTATCGATACATTTAAATGTCACACTTCGAATGACTTGCGAACTTCTTTCTCTAAGCACATTGACGCAGTGTCACGATTGCGTTTGTTAATATATTAGATTTTCGTGTGAATGTTCCTAAGTTCTTCAGCATTTGCTTATATATATGTGCCATATTATTTTGTATACACATAAACAAAGAAAGTCATTATAGCTATTCAATTTTTTTAAATTCTCAATCGGGACGACATTCGGCTACAGAGTCTTCGGCATTCGACTAATGCATGCAAGTATACTCAAATTGGATTCGATGAATGATATCGATATGTATCGTGTCAATGTCAATGTCAATGTCATGTTGCACATGTTTTAACCAATTTTTTAGGAACTGTTGAAAAGTAATTATAAAATAATACAATTTTAATTAATTTTTTTTTTTAGCAGCCAGCTGTAGAATTACCGAAGAAGTTACCCAGCACTGGTTTAGCTATCGTTTTCGCGTTAAAACTGTCCCTGCATTGTGGTGGCTGGTCGATTGACACCATATGTTAAGTGTGTCGCTTGGCGGCTTTTTGGCAGCGTGAATTTATTTTTTGCATCAGCATTTTTGTTTATGTTGCAAGATATTAGCGGTAACGAGCACAAAAATGGAAAGCGCACTGGCGCATGATCTGGAAAATAGTGAGCAACGTACAAGTGATGTGGCCACGGGTTCACTTTCTTTCGAGCAACTCGGTTTGAATGGCAACCTTTCAAAATGCCTGCAGACCCACAAATTTTTGACACCAACTAAGATTCAGGCAGCGGCAATTCCCATGGCGATTGCTGGAATGGGTAATAGTTCAATGGAGAGTTTTTAATGTATATAACAATCAATTTCCTCTTTAGATCTGTTGGTGCAGTCAAAAAGTGGAACGGGAAAAACTTTGATTTATGTGCTAGCCGCATTGCAGAAGATGAATAAGTCAGTGGCTAGTCCGCAGGCTTTGATAATTGTGCCAACTAGGGAACTGGCCATACAGGTGGAGGACACTGTTAACGGCTTGGCGAACAAATTGCGCAACAAAAACAATTATTTGTGTATTAGTTTCATTGGTGGCACAGATGTGAAGCGAGATCGCATGCGCATGGCTCGAGGGCGCATTATAGTGGGCACACCAGGTCGTCTGCTTCATCTCATTCAGAACAACGTATTCAATACGTCGGCAATTAAGCTTCTCGTGCTGGATGAGGCAGATCAATTGTATTGCACTGATTCATTGCAGAAGGATGTGCAAGCGCTCGTTGCATCGCTTCAGCCCGGGAGTCAAATAATCGCCTGTAGTGCTACATATCCGAATGTGCTAGACGAACGTCTTGCCAAGTTGATGCACAAACCAGTGCTGGTCTCTAACAGCCAGCGGGCCACCGTACTGCTGGGGGTTCGGCAGTTTGCCTACGAATTGTCAGCACAAGTGAATAATATGCAGGATATGATGGCTAAGCTGAAAGCGGTGCAGCAGATATTTACCCAAGTGACCTATGAGCAGGCTATACTTTTCGCTAGCTCCCAGAGTCGTGCCGATTCCTTTCGCAACTATTTGCAACGGGATGGCGTTGAATGTGATCTTATGTCTGGAGCTATGAAACAGAGCGATCGGCTGCAGACATTCCAGGTATACCAATTATTAATGTTATATATCTTTGAATAAGCTGTTTATTTTCTTAATATCTAAATTGTAATATTCAGGCCTATCGCAACTTCAAAATGCGCACAATAGTGGCCACTGATTTGATGGCACGAGGTGTTGATTCATCGCATGCGAATTTGGTTATTAACTTGGATCCACCCAACGATTTGGTGACTTATTTGCATCGCATTGGACGTGCTGGGCGGTTTGGCTCCAAGGGCATTGCCATAACATTTATTTCCTCTCCACAACAGAGCCAATCCTTTAAGCAGATTATTGCAGACGCTGGCACTGGAATGTCGGTGCTGCGATTTCCGGCAGATAGCCAAGTAGGCTTCAATTTTTGGGATTTTGACTCATACGATTTTCCCTATTATGTCAAATCGGAGGCATATGAGCAAGAGGAAACAGAGCTAAAGCGAATCAAACAGCGCTGGAAGAGTCCTGCTGATGAAGAGAACGTACCTAGTACAGTCGTAACTGTTGATAAGCATTTTGAAAATGGTGAAGATGCACCTCAAAAACCAACGGTCCATTCTGAACCGGCAGAAAACCCAAATATATCAAATGATGTGATTAATACTCCGGATAAAGATCCATATGCTGCAACACCAACACTAAGTAGCAATGATTTACAAGGTGCCAAACCTCAGATTAAAAACGACTTAAATAAAGCTGTAGCAGTTCAGGTGCATCCAGAAAATGAGCAAAATGTGCAAGCTATTGAGGCAACAATTACTGCAAGCAATAAAGAAAATGTCTCAGATAACATAATACAAACTCGAGTGATAGACGAAGCCAACATCCCGCTTAAAGCAACTGGAGAAGATCTATTGAAACCTACAACACCTCAGGAGTTGACCATAGAGCTCGTAGAGCTGACTCCTTCAGCAGAAATGCCTGGTGCAGCACCAAACTCGATTAACACTAAAACCTATTGTCTAGTTGCACCTACAGAAGGTAGTTCAACTACCCTCCACCCACAAGGCGTATCGAACACTGTCGATGATGCCAGCAGCATCGTTTCCGATAGCATAGAGAACGATTATGATAGCGATGCTTCCTACACCAGTTGCTATTCAGTAGGCGACATGCAAATCATCTGGCAACGTGCATTGTCACAGCGAAAATTGCAAAAGCGACGACAACGCAATGCCCGGCGCCGCATATATCTATATCATAAACGGCGCACCGTGCGGAAGTTCAAATATTGGAACAATGAACGTGGAAATGAAGAAGAACACGCAGAGGTAATTGCGTTTAGAGTAAGCCATCAATTCTATTTAGTCAAATGTATAATGTCGAACCTTCTTATTCAGGCATGGCTAGATGAATCGCATGAAATAATTGTGTTGCGCCAGCTACACGAACTTGTTTGTCAACGACCTCGGAAATTTCAAGTGGATGTAAGAACATTTGTGAAAATAATTTGAGCATATCTAATAATTTTGCTTTGAATTTTTAGAAACTGCTGACTGTGATCTCAAAGGAACGAAAACTTTTTCAACTCGTGGAAAAGTTTGATAACCCTCAAGAAGTTAAAAGACACCTAATGGCTCTTATAAATAGAAAGAATTGGGATTCTCGATTGTCTGGCAAATGGATAGAGCTGATATATGATTCATTTTCGCACTTTTACTATGTAGATCATAGCAAGTCAACGGAATTTAAGAAAGCCATATTTCCGTATGCCCCCAATTTGGACAACTACAATAGGCTAATAAATATTATAAAAGGGACTTCTTGTCCACAACAGCCATTAGGCAATCTAGAGGCGACTTGCCCACAACAGCCATTGAATAATCTAGAAGGTGCTTATTGTCCACAACAGCCATTGAGCAAGCTAACCGTGCACGTGAATCAACAAGTAAATATACCGCCTGATAATGGGGCAATTGAACATGCTGAGGAGGCGTACTCTGAGAATTCAGATTCAGAGGCATCCAATGTGCCATTAGATGAAATGGCACACGATAGCGATGCCAACAGTGAGAATGAAAGTGTGGATGCTGAGAGCATGGAGCCGAATTCATCGAGCGGATTTGTGGAATCAACGGAGAGTGCATCCTCAGGTATCGAGTCGTCTCAGTATGAAACTAATTCATCGGTTACTTTAGATCAGAGCGCGTATGATGGAGAAGAAGAGGAATATGAAGACGAGGAGGAATATGAAGACGAGGAGGAATACGAAGAGGAAATTGTAGAGGAGGAACAAACTATTGATGAAGAGATTCGCAACGAGACAGACGACTTGCATAGCAATGCTAGTCAATCGGATACTCTGAGTACTCTCACCGCGGACGGCGAAAATGATACAGATGAATTAGATGCTGAAACTGGTAGTGAGCAACAGGATGTAGACAGCGATAATAATTCAGTCGATGAGCTTGAAGTAGCTCAGGCTCGCTGGCAATATTTGTTCCAGATGCAATATTTATTTATTGCTAACTATGTTTACAACTATATGTCGCTATATAGAAGCCAGAATTAAATACGTTTATTATCATTATTCAAGCGCTATGAAAGTGCGATTCCTAGTCTCGAAAGTCTGACAACTACAGAAACTCAGGCATTTTTTATTTTCTTCTTGAAGTGAAATGGGAAAGTATTCGGAAATCTGCTGAATCAGCTGTTTGCAACTTAGTTATTTAAGTAAGTGAGCATTTCTTGCTATAATGTGAAATGTCAGGTACAAACTGAGTAAACCGTATTCTAAAAAATTACATGAATATATAACTCGTTAGAACAAACTGTTGTAAAACTAATTATAATTATAACGCAAATGAATTGCAAAATCGTTTTTTACTTACTTTTCTAAAAATATGATATGAATAAGTAACGCAAACTGAATTTTAGTGACTACAAATTCGTAACTAATGCGCCAAACGAGTGCATATACCTTAGTGAGTTAGTTTATTACGCTGTAAACTAAAATTCAACTTTTTGTATTGTTTATATAAATATCTGCATTAAATATTTGAAAGAGTCATAAATTTGTAATACTTAATGAGTAGTCAAGTTGTGGATCGATACTCATCGGGTTTTTAGAATAAAATGATATAAACTAAATACATATATGAATATATGTATCCTTTGCCATAGATGTACATTTTGATGGAATTAACAAATTAAACATGTTAGCAACTTCCTATGAAATATATTAAAATTGTGTTTGAATATACTAAAAGCACTTAAAATGAAACCCTATCGATTTTTTAGTGTTCAGCTCATTAAAAGACAGTATAAGTTTATACGTTAGTCTTATTTTCATACTCGTTTATAAGATGGAATATCATAGTGATCTTTTACAATAGAAATGTACATATACTTATATAACTCATATATATATATACTCATGTTTTGAGAGATTATGCAGTTGCCGCATCAGCAGCAGCAACCACATCACTGTGATTGTCCTCTAATGCCGCTCAATTGCCACATGCCACATGCCAGTAGAGTTGCGTAGGTGGCACAGTGGAAATGCTCGCCCTCCGGCTATCGGCCACGCAAAGCGTCTACACCGATCCCGATGCTGATGCCGCAGTCTCTGCTCGCGTGCAGTTGCGTTCCACATCCAATAAGGAGCGTGAGAAACTGACGGCATGAATGCAAAGTGAGCTGAAACAGCTGGCCACGACAAAATTTTATAGATGTTAGTTGCATGTGTTGTTGTTACTGTTGCTTGTTGTTTGTGCCTAGCCGAACTCGGCTCGATTAGCGATAAAGCCAAGATGCGAAAAAATGTGTTGTGCGTTGTGGTATTTGTTGTTGGTCAGCTGGCTCTGCCACTGCAGTGCACTGCGAACAGTTGCAGGTGTTAAGCTTTATAATGATGTTAACATTTTTATGGCCCACAATAACAACAAATGCTACAAAATTTGTTCAACCCAATCGCTTTTTGCGGTCAACCGTCTATGGGCACAGGCCATTTAGCGCTCATAAGTGGAATGCTCTGTCGTCGCTAACGACTCTAAGCTCTAAAGCTAAACTAATACTCATATTTGTAAAACTAATTAAAATTTCAGGGGATTGGCGTTTAATTATGAGCGAATAACCTGGCAATTAAATAAATACTAATAAATATAATAAATGGCGTCAAAATTTCGAAACCTATTTGGGGAATACACTGATGTTGTTTTATTGAAAGTGTTTAGTCATGGTTCCTAACATTCTTTAATCTTTATTCCTGGTATATGACTAAAAATAAAGATTTTGTAATTTTAGTATTTATTTTTAATATTATTAATTTATTATTTATTATTTATACGGGGACATATATTCTAAAGGATGTGCAAACTGTGGGATTGAGTAACCTTACTTTTTCACCATCTATGTCAATATCCAAAACCTTGTATATCGATGGTCTCATAATATATAAAGGTAAAATATTTTTGACAGTAGGAATTATGCAAGGTATATATACCATTATAAGAAAGCCATCGTATTCAATTAAATTTTTTTACTTAGGGTATTTAGCTATATTTTATGTGAACTATATATGTATATATTTGTCCATATACCATTCCTTAGCCTGTGCTTTTTGTTTGTAGACCAAAATATATGATAAAGAGAATCTCATTACCTGTTATTATGATTTTAATAGTGCATACGAAGATAAAAACCTTAGAAATTATTTAATGATTAATTGCCGGATAAAATAGATTTATATATTTTATTCCATAATAGTATACCTTTTAGACGGACACATAAGATGTTATCCTAATTTTAACATTGCTTGACACTATAACTGTTGGTGACCCAGTCAATTCGGTACAAGGAGTTGCCACTGTAACGTCTTTGTTGTTTTTCGGGGAGTGGCCCGCCCATATTTATGTGACCAGCTGTGTGACGGCTGGGCATGCAAACATAAATAAAAGTCGTCATTAATTAAATTTAGTACAAACAACATGGCATGCCTGCAATTATTCACTCAACTCAAGTGACGAAAAAATGTACGAATATGAAAAAAAATCAACAAAAAACCACTATATATATGTATAAAATAAAATAAAACACCAGTGAAACGCACGCGACGAGGAACGAACAAGAAAAAAACGATCACAGAAAAAAGAATAAGTAAATTAAAAAAGCGTTGACAAAAATGATCTGTGGGCAATTATAATGAATTATTTTGACACTTAGGGCCTGCAATGCACAACTAAAAATGCATAAGCCTAATTTATGCTCAGCTGTCGACATGAAACGCATTTTATTGCTTTTTAAATATGATAAATAAACATGCCGTTTGGCCTTTATTTATGCAATTGCCAAATAGTAGAAGAAACAGCCATCGCAGCGCACATAAATTGAAACCTACGCAACTATTTGCCGCTAGTTCAGCATGCAGCATGCAGTGTTTAGTGTGCAGTGTGCAATGTGCATGTGCAACGAGGCAAATTGCATTTTTCACCCCGGTGCCGCCAACAACAAAAAGAACTATAATGCTTACAGCTGGGAGCACGCCCTGGTCTCTCTGGTGGCAGAGCCGTAAAGCCTTCTCGGGCGAATCCGTTTTTTAATTGGTAAAAAATAGCTCAAATTGTCTACGCTGATTTCATTTTGCCGACGCTTCGTTGCAGGTCTTGCCCCAAAGGGTATTGCAAGTAGCAGCGCTCTGACCATGCATGATCGCAACAGCTCAAACAACAGACTCAACAGAAACAACAACAACAGCAACAACTACAAAAACAAACAATAAAAACCGCTAGCGGCTTATACGCGATTAACATCGCCTCCCAGATTTGTAATGCGAATAAATTGTACACATTTAGAGCAAAGCGATAACGCATCTGTGTGCGGAAAGAGATACACTAAGCGGGTGTGAGAGAGTGCAAGTAGAGAAGCGAAAAGTATTGGGTCCGTGCTAAATCAATATGCGAATTAAGCTACAAATATTTTTAAAATTTTATGAAGCTGTATTTCACGTTATATATTCTACGTTAACCTATGCACGTTGCTAATGGATGAAGTTATAAGTCAGTTGGATCTTATCAATAGTCAGTTATAGCTATAAATTTCAAACCTGATATGCAATGCGTTCTGAAGTTGTTTGGGCTTTCAGAAACGAATAAATGTAGTTTTGGAACCAGGTTTAGATATCTTACAGATAATAATTTCTGTTTTATGTCCGCTTTAAGTTCTGTACGGTAATGAAAATGGATAGTAAAGGATTTATGAGGTCTGCTCGAAGGCCTAATTGTGCTCTTGAATCTTACTAGCATTAACTGAAAAGGCGGACAAAAATAACCCCAGCAGACCTTACGAATGTATAGCTAGTAAGAAAGTTGGTCGATCTAAGTCTTGGAAAATTCGGAATCTAATACATTCATTGTGTAATGTTATTAAATAACATTATTTATAAATAATTCTAAGGTCGACAAATTCGATTTTAAAATTAAATGCCTGTATAGCAAATATAGAGATATACACTTCCAAAATATGTTTTATTTATTTAGATATTTGGATTTGACTCATTCAACTTGTTGCAGCTCATTCGACTTAGGCTTAAACTCTGTAGCGCTTCTAACTCTAAGCCTTAACTAGTAAACGAGTCAACGAACCATCGACAGCATCAAAATTCGAAATTTTTTATTTCTTAAGCTATTTTATTTATTCGTACTGTTGGAGTTACTTTGATCCCCTGTCGGAGATGCGAGATTTTGGATATGCTGTTGTTTATCCACCTCTAGATCCACATAAATGTCTATCATTACGGTTATTGCTAAAGTTTTAATGGAAACTTGCTCAATAGTCAATATTTCTCCGACAATATGCCAATAAACAAAAAAAAAAAAAAAGAAAAATTACTAATATTTCTATAAACACTTACTTGTACATACATACATACATACGCTTTTATCGTTGCCCTTTGGCATCAATTGACGCATGACATCGCACAGTGCTGAGCCGGCTGCAATCGAAAAGCCGCGTGACTTTTAGAACGTCAAGCCGGCGAATGTGCGGCTTTAAATGGAGGCAACCCCAACTCGAAATGACTTGACTTGCGAGCTGCTCCAAGTGCGGCTTTTGTGGTTCCCAGGCGGCTTAGAGCGAAAAACATGCTAGTCGCTTTAATTGTAGCCGCCGCTGTAAAGTGATTTTTCTAATGCAATTTTCAATGGCTTACGCAACAGAAACAACAACAACAGCATCAGCAACAGCCGCAAAACAAAAGTAACAACAACAATGCAATGGCAAAATGTTGCCGTGGAGAAACCTACCGCTGCCTTGGACGTATTGTGCGCATAATTACCCAACATTGCAGCAGCAGCGGCAGCAGCGGCAGCAGCGGCTTTTTAATCCCAGCCAGAAGACAGCCTCGCTCTGGCCGTTGTTAATGTTCTCGTCTCTTTGACAGCGCAGTGATAATCATTCCACGCATACGCGCATATTTTGCATTTTGAAATTGTTACATTATGTGCATTTTTATGACAAGTGAAACTCTCGCACCAAATCCGCAGCAGCAGCAGCAACAGCAGCCACTGAAAGCCAGCACCGAGTGGCATTCACCTGAAGATGAATTATTGCCCAGCTGCTTGAGTGTCTGCTGGCGTTGCGATTTATTTGTTGTTTGCCGCACAGACAACCAGCACACTCACACACGCGCAAGTGCTGATCATAATTAAAATACTCATAGTGTAAATTACACACAAATATTTTTAGTAATTTT